AGCAGGCAATATTGCCAATGAACAATACCAAAGGAAAGTAATGGTCTCGGGAGATATTGAATTAAATCCTGGTCGTGTATTTTTGTATATAAACTCTGTTCAAAACAACAGTCCAACTAAGCTGTCGTCAAATGTAGTGTTGGTGGTTAAAGATGTTATCAGTTTACAATACTTATACATCTTGGTTTTACACATTTAATAGAGTTTATAATTAAACAAAAAATTTTACAAACATTTTCAAATGCTAATAAAATAATCCCCACCCTCCCACCTTTAATATTACATTGTTATTTTGCTTTCTAACATAAATGTTTTTGTCTCAGAGATTAATGCAAGAATGATGAATAAATGTACTGGATATTGGCTTGATCATTTTGTCAGAACAACCCACTTGCAAGACAATCTTACCTAAATTCAGAAGTATCAATGGTATGGATACTGCTGTTTGCAAGCTACCATTAGGCATACAATATTTTTCATGTTTGTTTACGTTTTAAACGTTCAGGTTTTGACCGGAAAATGTCAACATTTTGAGCAAACCAATCAACGTTTGCCACAATCTTAATAGCAAAGTTTCATTGAACACACCGCGAAACGTTGATTGGCTTGCTCAAAATGTTAACGTTTTCTGGTGAACTGAATCTGAACGTTTGAAACGTAAACAACCTAAACAACGCACACCTAATGGTAGATTGCAAATAGCAGTAATAACTAACAGCTACAAATAATCATATATTATGTGGATGGTCAGATCAATGGCACATAATATGTACAAAACTGAACTAGCTTGTGATACCTTCTACTCAAACCGATATTCTCCCACAACACAAATTGTTTTTGTGTGGATATGCTGTGTTAAACCGAACAGTGTGGTATATCATTAACTGTGTACAGGATTGGAATTTAATTATATACTTCATTCATGACCTTTAAAACATTCTCTCACTATTCAGTGGTCTTCGATATATCATGGACTCTTTGCTACAGTATTAATGCATGTTCCTGGAATAGTTTGTGTATGTTACTCAACAGTTAATGTTGGCAAGTGTAAACAACAAGTGACAGAACTTTTGCTTCATATGATTACAATAAAGTTTTCAAAAGGGTATGGATTGACAAGTGAGAAAAAGAACTTTTGCTGATACCAACTAGGAGCTGGTTATTTCGTTTTCGCAAAGGTGCTTGAGTGCATCAGCTGCACTTCTTACTCTCTTGCCATCTTCCATTTCGACGAGGTCTTCCTGAAAACATACTCTGTAAGACAGAATCTTTTCACTAAGATCTTTGCAATAATCTTGTGGCTGGTCAGATTTTGCCGGAACACAGATCAAATTGATAGATTTCAATAAAGTAAAGAACAGTAACTAAAGACCTAAAATAAAAAGTCTATGAAGATTTCTAGCAGGTCTCTAGCCCAAATTCTTCAAATTATTGTAATATATTTTAAGTAGATTTTTATACATGGGAAAATAAATTTTAAAAAATATATATATATACCCGGCTGTATTGTTACTTTGTTTATATTTGATGATATGATAAAGAATGTTCAGATTGCAGTCTCTTCTCTACCACAATCAACTGTCAGAAAGCCACCATTTTCATAATAAAAACAGTCTCTATGAGGCATTATACTTTGAGTCTCTATGAGGCATTATATTAATGAAAAATAATATTAAAAGTGATTTTCAACCAGCATGGCAACAAGCGGTGAAGCGCGGTCGCCCACGCAGGAAGATGTGCGAAACATGAGCTTATATTCTCACTGGGAGTTTTCTCTCACAATACCATATACTTTAAATATTTATGCATGAGATGATCAGTTAGTTATCCATATACACCACGTGATTGTCAGACTGTATAAAAGTAGCCGGCACAAAATCGGTATCTTTTGAGCATCAAGTTGCGGATTTGCCACCGAAAAGGAAGGACGGCGCTGGAATTTTTTTTTTTTTGGGAACCAACCACCTCCCCTAGGCTGCGACACTTCAGGACCTAGCTTCGCCGCACTCTACCTTTGGCTGAAAATTATTTATCCCCAATCTGAATTCCCTCAGTCAAAGGTATTGTGCGGGAAAAACGAGTAGTGAGAATAAATTACTATTTATTATAGATGTAAATATTTGCTGTTATTAAATTAAACTAAACTTAAAATAAAAAATTACGACTAGACAAGTTACTCTATCTTCTTTTTCTGATGAATGGAAAATGGCTAAAATAGTACCTCTTTATAAAAATGGCTAACGAAATATTCCAGGAAACTATAGACCAATATCAGCTTTGCCGGCCATTAGCAAAATTATGAAACGAATTCTATACGATTAACTGTATAACTGTGAAAAAAAAATTAACAAAAAACAAAATAACAAAATAAAAAAATTTGGACTTCTTAGTGATTCTTAATTTTGTTTTGTCACTTTGTTTATATTTGATAATATGATAAAGAATGTTCAGATTGCAGTTTCTCTACCACAATCAACTGTCAAAAGGTCAAAGCCACTATTTTTATAATAAAAACAGACAGAATAAGAGTTACAAAATGGGCATTTATTAATATATCATGTATTCATGCATGCTCTATATAAAAATGAAAAATGGAAAAATCTGTAAATATATTTTATTATCTTTAACTCAATTTATGAAGCAATCCTATAATTATAAGATGTCCTGTGACTAATGCACCATAAAACAATAACTAATGCAACATTTTAACGTAACATAATAATTCTAAAATCTAAATGATGTGACAATAAATGTACCACAACCATAACAAATAATTATGAATATATGAAATTTGAATAAACCATCGATATTATCAAAAAAGCATGCACGGCCACCGCGGGCCACGGGTCACTCACGAAAAAGCTTTACGATGTTACTTAGGGGAATCTTCTATAGGGTATAACAAAAAGTTTTTTATCGGACAATTTAGCAGCCAGCCAAAGTCAAACCTCGAGTCAAACAAACAGTTTCTCTTAGTTTCACCCTGTAGAAAGCCGCCATCTTTGTTTTATGGCCTGTTCGCAGGCGTGCAAGCCCTAATAGTCGACCTGAGTGTTTAACGCACGCACGCACGCACGCACACACACACCAACAACGCAAGAAAAACCTTATCGGCGTTTGTAGGTATTAAGCATATCGTCAGGAAAATAGGGGCTCACAACGTTTTAGCTACGTCTTTGGGATCCAGTTGCTTCGCTCGTGTTGTCGTCAAATTTTTGCCAAGAATCAAAGGCCGAAAGGTGAACTTTCTTCATGAAAACCGCCTCGAGAAAGGTCTAGTTTGAAAATTTAGCTCTTAATTTTGATTTCACGAGCACAATTTGGTTAGACATTAAATATTTTTGTACTTGATGAGATTCAAAATTTATTGTATATTCAGTGTAATTTTGGTGATGACCGCAAACGAAATGAAGATATTTTAAAAACTGGTCGTGGCCTTACGATAAATCTTTTTGAAAAATGTTCTCTGTTTCATGTACTTTTTTATTTGATATCTTAGATATAAGCATAAAAATAGGGGCTTATACAGTACGAAGTTATAAAAGGCACGACTTGCCCCTATTTTCATGTGAACATTCGAAATGTTTCGACAGCAAAGTAGCAACTGTTTCAGATCGAATGCACACAGACAGCACACCAGGGACAATGGCATGCAGGGTACTGAAATAGAACGTCACTATAAAATATTCTGTATGATTTATTTAGATCTTGTCTATTTTCAACATAAAACAGTCGTTTATTTTGTCAACCAAACATTTGGCAAGATTTACACAATTGCGCCTTTTTGTAAGCACGCGTTGCGTGTGTTACACGGTATTCCGTGGCTCGTTCTGCTCGCGCATGCACAGACAAATTTCCCACCTGTTCGATAGCATAGTATCTAGCGCTACGCGCAGATACAAAAATCTTAAGCGTGCCGTATCTTTATATGGGATAGAGATTTCCCTTGTGATTTACATCACCTTTAACTTTGATTTTCTCGACTTACATCAAGTATTTTTTTTTTAAATTACTTCGCCAATGAACTTACTAGATCGATCGTTTTTGAAGCAATTCAGTTAAAACATTCGCAGTGCGTGTTTTATCAGACCTAAAGATACTCGGCTTCGCCTCGTCTCGTTTCATTATATCTGCTAAAACACTGCTGCTCATGTTTTAAATAGTACTTACTTAAAAGGTCCTAATTAAGTTAGCTAACATACAAATATAACTACAATTAAAAATGACTACTTAGTTTCGTTTTGAATTCGCCTAAAGAATTTGAGACTAGCTCAGGTGGTAGTTTATTCCATTCTCTGATAGTTCTTGCTAAATATGAATATTTAACGAAACGCCGTTGTTTAGTTGCCTTGGGGATCTGATATTTGAATGAGTGACTGTCGCGTGTTCTATAGATTCTGGGTGTAATTTCAAATTCTGATCGGTGTTAAAATCTACAACAAGATTATGGCTTATCATTATAACTGTCAATGAACACGTCATATGTTCCGGGAATCAATGGGTATTCTAAAAAAATGCCAAACAACGGGTATCGGTCACTCCGAAACTGAACATGTTGAAAACATTTTTGAAAGCGAAGACAATATCAATATCTTCATTTCAAAGTTGCGTTGTTTCGTATGTTATTAAAATACGAATATGTCCTCCTTTATTTATATCAGGAATGTAGGCCTACTGTAAAGTATAGTGGTGTTAACGACGGCATAACCTTGAAAAATGCTGCCTTAAAGATTTTCGATAGTTTGCGTCTCTTATTCCATAAACAAAAGCATTGGCAATTGAATTAATTCCATAAAGTTCGAAGTTAAAAACCACATACCACGTCGTAGTTGCATCACAAGTTTTACAAAGAAAATATAGTGATATTCCGATGACTGCTGGAATAAAACAACACAACGCCAATATAGATACAATGATTATAAATGTCTTGACTGACTTCAGTGCAATTGTCTGACGAAATGAAGATATACGTCCGTTAGGACGACTTTCGTTTGGCTCACCTACATTGGCCGTTTCTTGAAGGATTCTTTGTTTTTGGTTTCGTGCAATCCTTAAAATTTTAAGATTCAAAGAAAATATAATAATGATAGGTATATACAGGATAACAATTTCGCAAGGCCAGTAGATTTCATCCAGTACTTGGCAATAACTTCGTTTAGGTTGCCGTCTTGGTTTTTTAAAATAAACTGCCGTTAAGCAGAGAACACCACATGAAATGAGCCAGATAGCAGCCACAATATTCCTAACTCGTTCTTGGGTTACAATCAATGGATATTTCAAAGGTTTTGCAATGAATATGTAACGGTCAATAGTGATCGCAAGGAGTGTAGCCACAGAAACAAACAACAATGCAAGCAGACTGGAACGACTTAACTTGCAAAACAGATCCTGATCACTATCAATGTTTAATATAGTCTGTATAAACTCAATGATCCATACTGGATAAAATGTTAAACACACGAGAAGATCTGCCAGTGCCAAATTCCCTACCAAGTACGATGTTATTGTCTTTTCTTTACTCAAGAAAATGTTATAAATTATAACTGTGGTATTCCCCACAACTCCAATAATCATTGCGGTGAATTTAAACACAACTGATGGGAGAAGAATGTACGTTACAACTGATTCAGTCAAGTTATTATTTGCCATCTTTTTTATTGAATGAATTGAAAGATTACAATTTGTTGAACTGACAACAATTCGACCAAACGTACTAAACGTGTTGTGCTTGAATATTGTTTATCCAATGACACTTGTTCAGCCTAACTTTCCATTATTTACCAATTTCACCGAACGTGTTTGCTGTCATCACGGTTTACAAATGTATAACTTTGACACGACTTAAAGTTGTTGAGTTGTATTTCAATAACGATAGATTAAATGCTACTGAATAATGATCAGACTAGCTAACAGCTGTTCGGAGAAATGCAAATTTAATCTTTTGACACAAAACCTAAAGGCACTTGAATGGGTTCTAACTCAACAAAATTTGATCCAAATAGTATTTGGAGTATATTATAGACCAGTCAGAAAAAATGACCGTTTCCGGGTTCCACCGCACACGACTGCATGTGAAACAGGAAAAATTGTTAGCACGCGGTATCGTTTTTTTTCCCGAGCCAACATCTTTATCTGTCAATCATACTGTGTTCATTTCCTTTGCTTATTAACAATACGGCGAGTTTATTAGACTTTCGGCGGTTCTTGAATGAATCAGTGTACACTAACAACTTTAAAGATTAAGATCATGAATCTGTATGAACTCAATATATACTGTAGGGTAGGTAAAAATATGGACTGTAAACTCGGTGACTTTCCCACTCATGGACTACTTATCCACTTATGAACAGCTGCATTTTTACCCGCGTATGATCATCAAGCATCGAATGAATAGACCATTGTCATAGTCAACAAGACTGCTGGGCTCTTTGCCCTATATACTACTATAGGTTGAGGAACTAACGATATTTTTTCTTGTCGTTTCAGGAAATTGCGAACCCATGACCTTGTGAACACTGGTATACGTACGTAGACGTATACTTGCGTGAGCGTAGGAGGGGGCGTGAGTATGACGTTTTAAGTTTTGAGTTGACATTTAAATAAACGCCCATCGCCATGTCAGACTTGATGAAACTCAAACATTAAGGTTACAGGACACCTTTTATGGCTTTCTGCGGAGAATCGCAAATGCGCGCTTAATATTAATCCGATTTTATTCCATTTTAATTTCATCAAATATTCATTAGTGTATGCAAAATATCTGGGGCCGGTTGTATAAAACTCTTAAATCACTTTTTTAATATTCACTATTTTGTAGTTAAGTAGCGATTAGCTCTCAAATAAGCGCTTTTTATTGGATGACATTTCCACTTAACTGTGATGAACTTTAATCACTTTTTTATACAACCCGCCCCAGAAAGGTGAAGTTGACAATCAATAATGTAATTTATGAATTTTCAGGAATTTTCAAAAACGCGGTGCCTCACGCCTCTGATGCTCCTACCGGTTTTAAGATATACTTTTCAAAATGTCGCGACTTTTTATTTAATTCGCCATTCGTCTGATATAGCGATTTCTTTATGGACTATATTTTATTTCAGATTTTTTGGAATGAGTCACTCGTAATTCACTAAATATCCGAAATAAAAACAAACCCCGACATCTTTTTGAAGCTGAGATTCTCAACTTTCTGCTGAACAAATGTCAGAAAATCTGCTTAACCGACCGGAACCCGAAATCAGAAGTTATCGAAAGAAGTTATTCGAGAAAATCGAGTTTATATATATTACAGCGATACTTCACTTGCGAATATAGCATAACTAGTTTATTTAATAACTCGGCGAGTTTTCAAAGTGTTTCCTTCAAACTCGGTCAAATGATATAGAACTACTTCGTTCAATCAGAATCGAAATATCTTTGTTTGATCAAATATACGAGATATCTTCTGTGTAAATAAATATAATACGCTTTATATTATTATTATTATTATTATTATTATTATTATTATTATTATTATTATTATTATTATTATTATTATTATTATTATTATTATTATTATTATTATTAATTGAAACAATATTTACTGAATATATTCAGTAATAGAGTACATAATCAGAGCGCTCAAACTGCATGCAAGCAGTAAGCGTGACACCCCCCTGAAAACGTCTTTTCGGCAACAATTTTGGGGAAAAATACTGATTAGTGACGGAAATGTTGTTGGCAAATCTGATACTATGCCTCCCCTTCTTTATCCTCTTCGCTACGGCCCTGCTGACTGAAAGCTAAAGCAAGATGACCAAGGGCAAGGAATATCTGAGGTACAGTTGATTGTTGTCAAAATTCAGAAGTTGGACCAACTTGGTTACGGACATCCAGTCCAGTAAGCAAGGTCTTGCCAACATCTCATTTGACAGGATCTATACTTACAGGGATGAAAAATTGTTTGATATAAGCTCACACCTTAGTTAAGCATGTTACTGCATGTCTAATTAGGATGCTTTTGTGATCTTTATTGACTCCAGTTTAGTAGAGTTTGGATGAGTTCTATCTTGTGCATCGAGGGTTTTCTTCGGGTACTCGGGGTTTCCTCCCTCGTTAAAAACTAACTTAGACATTAATATAAGCACCTGTAACCTTTGTAATTAGGTTGCAAGTGAAACCTATAATTACAGCTTTCTGTCAGAGTGGTAAAAAAATAAAACTACACTTGCCAATCATTTTGTATCAATACCATCTTATTCAAAACTGAAAATGGGAATTGTACATGCATGTCTGTTTCAAGTATCTCCTTTAAATTTTTCAAGCAATCAGTTGTGAGATATATGATAATTTTTCTTTGTTTTCTATCTGAATTTTAGCAAGAATTATCTTTGTCTCCTCAGGAATTTGGATCTTTGTCATATTTGACTGGTTATGTGATAAGATCATTATATCAAAAAAGAAAAAAACTGCTCAAGATGCGACTCCCCACGGAACAAAGAAATCCAAGCCTTGATGTCATCAATGCGAGAGGAAACAGAGGCAAATGAATACATTGCATCCTTGCCAAGAGGTGAGCTTTGGTCACCTCACCTCACAGAGGTGGCCGAGTTGCTATTTAGAAAGCACACAAATAAAGACAATGTGACTCGTCTACCAGCAGACACAATAGTGAACGAAGTAATAACTTCTCCCCTTGTTAAAAACTTGTGGTGCAACATTATTGAAAACTGTGATGTAGAAACCTCAAAGGAATGTCAGTCTTTATGTCTAGAAATTGTTGTCAAATTATATTACTTATATATAAATTGATCACAAAATCACAAAGAGCACACGCAAATGGTTTGCCCTTTGAATAATAATTGGATTCATCATGAGAGTTTTCTCTCATATATTACTATCAATTGCATCTATAAGATGAACAGTTACAGATAAAACATAAGACTTACATTTTGTCAATAATATTTGAAAGGTTTTAATCTAATTAGCCAATCAAATTTGATTTGCCTCAAGTTTTACTAGAAAATGTTTTATAATGTGTTCAGGACAATATCACATTCAGCAATCTCTACATCATTTCCCAGGGGCTCAGTTTTAGGCACCATTGAAGGAAATTAATTGGAGAGAAGAGAATATTTATTTATTTATCTTTTTAGTGATATGATTATTGTTCAACAAACGTTATATAATGTGCTGTTCAAGCACAATATATGCATAGTATAAACTATTTATTTAATGTAAACTATATAAGAAATGAGCACTGGAATTTGCCAAATTTCTAACTAAAAATAGCTAGTATCAATGGACCATTTGCATTATAGACTAAATTTTGATCTAGACAAAAATTTCATCACAGCTTGAAAGAGCTTCACAAAATTAGTAATATTCCAAAGTTTCGTTGCGAAATCAGTTGTAAAATTTAAAAACGGGAAATTGATGCCCCAACACCGGATTAGGCTGTCAATTTCCCGTGCGTAATACAAAATGACTGAAAAACGGCAAACTTCGCATGGCTATAATATCCGCATTTTACAACATTTCGCAACGAAACTTTGGATTATTACTAATGTTGTGATACTCTTTCAAGCTGTGATGAAATTTTTGTCTAGATCAAAATTTAGTCTATAATGCAAATGGTCCATTAATGTATTTAATTGTTAATTGCGTTCACTACTTCTATTCTCATTGACTGATTGTACAAAAACAGCTTTTACTTAAAGTAAACAATGTCATATGTAAATTTGTTTTCATTGCCGGCAAGAAATTTGAGATGGATGTGACAAAGTGAATAAGGGAACAATAAATAGAGAAATAGCTTAATTAGTGAGAACATAACTGATTTACTCATTCACATCGATCAAAAGCAAATTGCAAGTATGACTAAGCAACTTACATCTAACAGTGCAAGTAACACCCAAATTTCCACTACTTAATTCATTGTCTCATTTAGTGTCATTGGCGTTGAAATCCGTTTATTCTGTTTTCTTGGTTGGTTTCTTTTCAGGCAAAGGCTCTTCACTTACACCATACCACTTACTTTACTTGCCAGAATGCCGTCCAGACACTTTTCCTTGCACAGATTGGGGTGCAACATCTCTCAATGCAGCGATCCTTAAATCATTGTAGCCAAACTCAGCTGCTGTTGGTTGTCACTTCTTTGCCCTTGTGCACGCTGGTAGCCAACGTACTCTTCTACATCATCCTGGCAGAATGTTCTGTTAGGACAAACTCAAAGCCTTTGCTTAACAAAAATTTAGTTACGGCGATGGCTGAAGTGACCGTCATCTTCAGTCTATTGAATGTTTATTTGCTTATAAACATACGTCCTCTGTTATCATTTGAAAAATCTCATTCTCTTGCCTCAGTTGATGATTTCCAACTTTTCAAATAATCCAGAAAGACATTCGATCCGCAGTTAATCAAATCACTCATCATCTACACGTTGGTACGGGGCTAGCAAGGCATTGCGCTTCTTCTGATGGTCAGTTGTGGATCGGACATTTATACAATCGAAGAAATCCGATTCATCATATTGCACAGTTTCGTTTGCCTCTCCCGATAAATAATGGCGCTGGAGAGCTTGTCCAACTGCATTGCTCAACACTTGAACTGCCAAGCTGATTTTCATCTTTGAATACGACTTCAGGATAATGTGATCAACAGTCAACTTGGGTCGAAGCAGGGGCGGCGGAACAGGGGGGGGGCTAGGGGGGGGCTAAAGCCCCCCAGAAGTAAAAGTGGGGGGGGGGGCTTAGCCCCCCCCAGAAAATTTGAATTTTTTGAAAAAATTTTGATAATTATGGAAAAATTTAGGTTATTTTTTGAAAATTTAGGTATGAGGGGACAAATTTGCAATATTTTGTTTAAAAAAAGTCTATTTCGGAAAAAATTTTTAGATATAAGTCCGAAAATAATTTTTTCGTCCCTTTTTTTGTATATTGTACCCCTAAAATGGTACACTGACCGAACTTTTTTTGGCGACGGGGGGGGAGGTCGCCGAAAAAATTTAGCCCCCCCCAGAATGAAATCTGTTCCGCCGCCGCTGGGTCGAAGCTGATGTAAACCGGCTTGCCACTGCCAGATTTATAGAGACAGTTCACGTTGTCTTGAGCACGTGTGGAGTATCCGAGAAAAAGAAAAGTTCCTACCTCGAGCAAAGAGGTTGGGTGTATAATTTACCTTGCATGTCACCACCTGGTTCCACCAGATCAGCATGGCAGCTCGTAAAATAAAAAGGCGATTAGGTGAGGCTCCATCGGAGACAGCTGCACAAACCCAGAGATTGCAATCCATCTCTAGCACAGATAGTACTTTCCAAAACAGGGGCATTATCTGATATGATGTAACATCTTTGGTCAGAAAGTAACCGAGGGCATACTTGGCAGCACCTCGAACAAAAGATACCAGAGCATGTGTTGCAAGGTGAACTCAACTCTTCTTCTCCAAGATCAACAAAGCCAATCCGCTCATTGGAGTATTTGTCAAATATCAACTTTGACTGGATTTTTATCTCATCAAATGAAATAATAACATACCTCTGGTGTCAAAATATTGGTCTGTTTGATTCCTCAATCTTTCGATATTTTCTGGATGGAAACCTGCCCTTGGTTTAAAAAAATTCCGGTAGTCCTTTAATGTTCTTTCGCTTGGAATACTAAAATACCAGAATCTTGCAGTTCTCTATAAGCCTAGCTCTGGGGACTGGCGTGAACAGACAGGAAAAACGGATAAAGTGAGGGAAAACTACAATCAATGCCAAAATTTTGAAAAGGTACCAACCTTTTCAAAATTTTGGCATTGATTGTAGTTTTCTTTGTTGCTACCAGAAAACGTTCGTGTGTGGGGTTACTTTGTCACCACCATCACCGAAAATTGCCAAGATATCTTTTTCCATGGTCTCACCAGTAGGAATGCTGTTCTTTTCAATTCTTCTTTCTTTCTACATTTCAGCTATCCGACCTTCAAGCTTCTTGTAAACAAACTTTTGTTTTTGCACAGTGGCGACCAATCTTTCATTGCTTCAACCAGACTATTGAGTTGCTCAACTGTTCGCTTGGCATTACTCTGCTTGATTTTACCAAGGATCTTTCCTGCTTCATGCAACTTGAACACAAAATGTCATCGCAAAGCAACTCACTGTTTTCACTAGATTGGATGAAAATACGAGCCTGAAATGGTGAACTATCCACGTCATAATGCTTTCTCCTAATGCGAATTGTATGTCTCATAATACTACGGGAAACCGACCGGCTCAGATCTTCACACATGGCATAGGTGTGTTCATCTTTAATGAGACCTTCACAAACTTCAGCTCCTTCCGAAGTGGACATAAAGGGGGAAATGGTGGTATATTGCGGTGATCTCTTGTGGTTATTATAGATTGAATGGCTGTCTGGTAAAAACCAGTTATATACAGCCACAGAAAAATTAAGGCCAGTAGCAACTTGTAAGGCTAATTTTGGTAGGGTATAAGGTGGATGGAAAAATTCAAAAACCACAGTATCTTCATCTTCTGTCTTGGACCATCGTTTCATCACTAAAGACAATACCTTTTTTGAAAATGTTCCAAGTTGCGATACACCACTGGAACACTGAGGAAGATCAATTTGCAGCCGCGCACAAACTCGCGCCCTGGTGCTACAGGAGGAGGAGGGACACTTCTCACAGGAAGATTTAGTGAAGGTATTGCTCCACGAGTTAGTCTCTTACGACCATAGAAACTAAAAAGAAAGAAGATGTAAATTTGAGCAAGCACTTTTACGTTAACCGATTGAGCTACAATGATGTGATTGATGTCAATGTTATACCCATGCACCTTAGGGAAATCCCCAAAATCAGAATGATTATACCCCTCGCATCGTTTAGTATCCCTGCATGCTCAAGATTTAAACTAATGAACCTTTGTACATAGTTTATATTAAAAAATATAATATTAAAAGCCATATAACATAACCTTTGCTATATATTATCATTAAATATAGTAAAAGTCGATAAAATACAATCTATATATACCTTTATTTACAGCATTGATTTATAGGATTTATGCCTACATGTAATGCGTTTCATGACAAAGGCATACAACTTAACATGTACTCAGTTATAACATGAATTTTAATTCAAGTAATAAAAAAATAGAATACACTTACGACAATCATATTCTTCATTTTTAAAGTGCTTCTCGCAGACATACAAGTTTCCGCTGTCGATTTGTCGTCGCATACTTTACAAACTGTTGACGGTTCTACTCTCTACGCTGATCTACATGGATTGAAAAGCTCTTCGATACTTACTGGTGATACGTATCGCCCAGATTTGCTATTATCGTGCTCAAATGGTTGCTTATATGTGGTCGAACTCACCACTGGTTATGAGACAAATAATCAAAAACAACGTAACACGGAAGAAAGATAAATAATAATTATAGCGAATTATTGAGATAGCTATGTAAAAATTTTAATCAAGTTATATTTATAAATCTCTCCATCAGCTCTTTAGGTATTTTTGCAGGTATGTTCTACATTTTTAGATATGCCAGAAAGTATGATTGGTCTTGACAAAAACCACCAAATGATGACTATTGCTATGAGAAATACCTATTACATTAATTTTTCTGCTGCCGAAATAAGGAATGGGAAAATCCGGATTTACTATTTGATTTATCTCATTGTATATATATAAATATATATAAATATATATATATATATATATATATATATATATATATATATATATATATATATATATATATATATATATATATATATATATATACAACAGTCTGTTTCAGCCGTATAGGAATCATCAGGTGGTGATTCCTATACCACCTGATGATTCCTATACGGATGAAACAGACTGTTGTGGTTTTTTGAGGTAAAACGAAAAACTATATTTCGCTCTATCTACATGGTATTGAGCACTGTTTGTGTTTCGTAAACCAAAACCTTAAGCTATATATATATATATATATATATATATATATATATATATATATATATATATATATATATATATATATATATATATATATATATATATATATATATATATATATATAAATGAAGTTTCCATTATTATTATTATTATTATTATTATTATTACTTAATAATCTTTAAAAACTCTAACCCTTCAACCCACGTAGCGAGTTGCTTTTCAAGCCGGGGCCGCGTTTCCAACTATTTACAAGTCATATAATCAAGTTAAGTTAAACTGTCCCGGAGAATAGCTTTAAATCTATGTAATCCACTTTGCAAACCCAGGCAATCGATTCCATAAGTTTACAGCTGAATAATTTATACCTCATTTCATCATATTAGTTCTTGGCATTTCCAGTGAGAAATCGATATTGTTATTATACGAAGGTTATACCTAGTGTTAATTTTCGCATTAAAAAGGTTGGCCATACATTGCGGAGGTTCATTGGTGTGTTTGATTTTATACATAAATATGGCTTTATTACACTTCATTCGCTTTTCTAATGTTTGCCAATCAAGCTCTCTTAATATTTCACTAGATCTTATAAGCTTCATATGACTTTCCGGTAATTACTCTTGCTGCTCTGTTTTGCATTTTTTGCAGTCTTTGAAGCAAACAGTTTCCACAGTTTTCCCACACCATGCTACAATAGTCAAAAAGGGGAGATCACGGAATTGTATGCATTATTCATAGTCTGTTGAGGAACAAACTTTTTTATTCTACGCAATAAGCCAACGCCTTGGGAAACTTTAGTAATAATATTTGAAATTTGCTCTTTCCATGAAACGTTTTCATCTACAATTATAAGGAGGGTTTTTGTACAATTTACTTTTTTCAACTCTTTATCTTGCCGTTTAATTGTAGTATTCAGATCTGGGTATTTAGATCCTATTACCATGCATGCATATACTCAGTTTAATCCATATTTAAGGTCAGTTTATTGGCCAACAACCACTGGCGCATATTCTCTAAATCAGTACAGAGCTTATCTTCAATCAAGCCAATCGAAATTCCCTCAGCTGTTATGTTGGTATCATCTGCAAGTAACCTCGCAGACGAACGTGTTAAATAATTTGGTAAATCGTTTATATAAATTAGGAAAAGTAACGGCCCAAGAGTGGAACCCTGCGATACGCCACATTGAATTTTTTTTTGGCTGATAAACACTGGTCAATTTTACTCATCTGTGATCTATCATTTAAGTGGGACATAAACCACTTCAGTATACGGTCGGTACATCCATAAAGTAATAATTTTTTAACCAAGATTTTATGATCCACATAGTCAAATGCTTTCTTAAGGTCAAGCAAAAATACACAACTTAGGTATCCCTTATCCATATTAATTAACCACTTGTTTGTTTGTTATATTAAGTAATGAAGTTTGGGTTGAATAATTTTTTTCTAAAGCTTGCCTGTTGTTGAGACGATATATTGTTTGTTTCTAGATATTTATAGAATTGCTCGGAAATTAATCTTTCAAAAGTTTTAGCAACCACAGAAAGCACCGATATTGGTCTATAGTTTGTACATTCCGATTTATCCCTTGTCTTATAGATAAGTGAGACAACTGCAGTTTTTAAATCCTCTGGGAAAACTCCAGTTTCAATAGATAAATTAAAAATTGCAGTTAAAAATGAGCTATAACATCAGCAGCATCTTGCAATAGTTTGTGAGATATTTTATCATGCCCATCTGCTTTGGACACCTTATAGGCCTATTAGTTGATAATAGCTTATAGACCTGTTCTACTGATATCAATTGGAGTTCGAATTTAGATTCCTTTTGCCTTATGTAACCATTTCCAGTGAAATATTACTGTTTGGTAAATTTTTCGCCAGGTTTGGTCCTCCTTCACAAAAGAAGGTATTAAAAGCTTCGACTATATCTTGCGGTTTAGAAATAGTTTCGTCATTAATCTTAAGTTCAGTTACGTTGGTTGTTTTGGAGTTTTTGTTAATCAAGTTATTGACTGTATTCCACATCTCTTTAGAATTATTATGTTGTTCAATTGTCCAATATAATAATTAACTTTATGTTTAATCAATTTATTAACAGAATCTTCTCCCTTTTATAAGCCTCATGCATCCTGTTTTGACAGCTTTTGTTTTAAGGAAATCTCTATAATATTTACTCTTCTTAATTGTGTCAGTAATCCAGGGGCATATTCACTCCTCACTTTACGAGTAATAGGTGTAGCGTGTAAATCAGCGATAAGTAAAAATTTTGTTTTCCAATCATTTCATGCACATAATTGCGCATTGCTCATCGTTTTCTGCTTGTAGTTTTTGGATTTCTGCCAGTAACCGAGAATTGTCAGTGTGATCATGTGCTTATCTTGCTTCAATATCTTGATATCTTTAGTAAGAACCTCGAATTTATCATTAGTAGTTGTAATAAACGCCATCATTTCGAATCTAAGGTCTTCAAGCGTATTTTCATCAAGAATTGAGTGAGGTTTTTTTTTCATGACTATACCAGTGGGAGTAATGCATAATATATTATGCAAAACCTCCTGATCTTGAAATGGCCGATTTGATTCAAATTTTTCTAAATTGTTCTCACTTTGGGCGAAGGATATGATCCTATCTTTAACTCCATTCGCTCTTTCCCCTCTTAATGTTAATGATTCTGTGTTAGTATACCAACGTATAATCAAATTTTTGTCTTCACCCAGTTTACACGCACCGCCGGACGAAGTCTAATTCGCAGTCGACAATTGATGGTCTTTTACAAACTCTTTAAGGTCTTCAAATTTCCCAGTCCACTTCAGATTTCCCGTATAAGTTATCACCAAACCTTTAGTTACATTAGTAAATTCACCTCTTAATGTGTTTTATCTAGCAGATTTTCGGTAGAACTATCGCTGACATGACCGTGTGCACCGACATGTTGTCAAAGTGAAACCTCGTATGTTCTAGATTCTGGGAATAATTTCAAATACTGATCGGTGTTAAAATCGACAAGTTTATGAGTTATGACTTATCTATTTCTATATAGCTAGCTGTCAATAACAAGTCGAATGTTACGGGAATCAATGGGTATTCTAAAAAAAATGAAAAACAACGGGTATCGTTTACTCCGAAACTGAACATGTTGAAAACATTGTTGAAAGCGAAGAGAATATCATTATATCAATATGTTCATTTCAAAGTTGCCGTTGTTTTGCATTTTATTAAAATACGAATATGGCCTCCACCTTTATTTATTTCAGAAATATACTGTACAGTATAGTGATGTCAACGGCGGCATAACCTTGAAAAATGCTGCCTTAAAGATTTTCTATAGTTTGCGTCTCTTATTCCATAAACAAAAGGATTGGCAAGTGAATTAATTCCATAAAGTTCGAAGTTAAAAACCACATACCACATCGTAGTTGCATCACAAGTTTTACAAACAAAATACAGTGATATTCCGATGACTGCTGGAATAAAACAACCCAATGCCAATATAGATACAATGATTATAAATGTCTTGACTGACTTCAGTGCAATTGTCTGACGAAATGAAGATATACATGTACGTCGGTTAGGACGACTTTCGTTTGGCTGACCTACATTAGCCGTTTCTTGAAAGATTCTTCGCTTTTGGTTTCGTGCAATCTTTAAAATTTTAAGATTCAAAGAAAATATAATAATGATAGGTATATACAGGATGAAAATTTCGCAAGGCCAGTAGATTACATCCAGAACTTGGCAATAACTTCGTTTAGGTTGCCGTCTTGGTTTTTTGAAAAAAACTGCAGTTAAGGAGAGAACAACACAAGAAATGACCCAGATAGCAGCCACAATATTCCTAACTCGTTCTTGGGTTACAATCAGTGGATATTTCAAAGGTTTTGCAATGAATATGTAACGGTCAATAGTGATCACAAGAAGTGTAGCCACAGAAACAAACAACAATGCAAGCAGACTGGAACGACTTAACTTGCAAAACAGATCCTGATCACTATCAATGTTTAATATAGTCTGTATAAACTCAATGATCCATACCGGATAAAATGTTAAACACATGAGAAGATCTGCCAGTGCCAAGTTCCCTACCAAGTACGATGTCATTGTCTTTTCTTTACTCAAGAAAATGTTATAAATTATAACTGTGGTATTCCCCACAACTCCAATAATCATTGCGGTGAATTTAAACACAACTGATGGGAGAAGAATGTACGTTGCAACTGATTCAGTCAAATTAGTATTTGCCATCTTTTTTATTGAATGAAGTGAAAGATTGTAATTGTTGAACTGACAAAAATTCAACCAACCGTTTGAGTATTTGAATATTGTTTATCCAACGACACTTACTCGGCCTGACTTGTGTATTCCATTATTTTCCTTAAACAATTTCACCGAACGTGTTTGCTGTCATCACGGTTTACAAATATATACCTTTGACAACGACTTTGAGTTGTTGAGTTTATATTAATAACGATAGATTAAATGCTACTGAATAATAATTAGACAGCTAACATCTGTTCGGAGAAATGTAAATTTAACCCCTTGACACAAAACGTAAAGGCACTTGAATGGGTTCTAACTCAACCATATTTGATTCAAATAATATTTGCAATATATAGACCAGTCTGAAAAATTGACCGTTTCCACCGCACAAGACTGCATTGGAAACAGGAAAAATTGTGAGCACACGGTATCGTTTTTTTCCGAGTCAACATCTCTGTCTGTCAATTATACTGTGTTCATTTCCTTTGCGTATTAACAATACGCCGAGTTTATTAGAGTTTCGGTGGTTATTAAATGAATATGTATACTAACAACTTTAAAGATTAAGATCTTGTATCTGTATGAACTCAATAGGTTAGGAAAAAATATGGACTCTAAACTCGGTGACTTTCCCACTCATGGACTTATCCACTTATGAACAGCTGCTTTTGTAATCATCAAGTTTGTGCTAGTGAACAAGACTGCTGGGCTCTTTGCCCTATATACTAGTCTACTATAGGCTGAGGAACTCACGATATTTTTTCTTGTCGTTTCAGAAAATTGCGACATGACCTTGTGAACACTAGTATACGTTCATAGACGTATATAAGATGTACTCACGCCCCCTCCTACGCTCACGCAAGTGACGTTTTAAGTTTTGAGTTGACATTTAAATAAACGCCCATCGCCATGCCAGACTTGATGAAAAGACTTGATGAAAGCACGTTTACACGCATTCACGCCAAAGTGATAGGACGTATCTTAAATTAATATATTTGTAAGCCAGATAAAACGTCAGTTGGCCGGTGACATCAATCATAAAAACCCAACAAGTCGTAATCTCTAACAACTGACCAAGTATAGGTCAAATTTGCATAAAAAACATTCAATAAAAGTTTATTATAATGATTGATTAAGAACGTTTTAAAAGTGGTGACACTAGTAAAGCTGCTACATGTGGCAACTTTGCACATAGAGTTCCATATCTTTACAATCCGATTAAAAATGAGGCCTGAAATGTAGTTGTTTTACAATATAGTGTTTTTAAAACAACGGTGGAATTACTACTGAGACGTGTTCGCCCATGAGTGACAAAGAAGACAAAGTCTTCCACATTTAAGTCGTAAAGTCCATGGAGAGCTTTCTAGAAGAACATCAGGTCTCTTATTTGTTGATCATAACATAAAGATAACATATTTAGAATAGATAACCTGTCTCGATACGGAACATCTCCCACCTTTACTTTCAGGATCCATCAAGTGGCATGCCATTTGTTCTAATTTGATTTTCAGGTTACTTTGTAGACTTGGATCAAGTCCGTCTCTCTAGAGTCCGAGTCGCGAAGCGACGAGATCGAGCGCGCCGCGAAGCGGCGCGCGAGGAAGGCCGCGTTATTGCACCTCGCGGCGCTCTCGATCCCTCGGACTCTTGAGAGACGGACTTGATCCAAGTCTAGTTACTTTGGTGAGGAGACCAGACTTCACTTGCGTAGCATACTTGTAATTTGACAAGGGCCAAATACAGAGTTCTCCTGACATGCACTTGAGTCAAGAGAGGGCAGGTTCTTTTCAGTATCCCGAGCATTCTATTGGCTTTCGCAGATATTCTTTGAATGTGGAAATCCCATGATAGGCTACTGGTCAATATTATACCTCAAATTCGAATCGTCCAATGAAAAAACAGCATTTGTACCACGTGATAATGTGATTTTTTACAGTATTTCACTCAAATTCATGATTTCGCAATGTAGCGTGAGATACTATAATTTCCCACGGCAGATCCACCGTGGGATATTATAGTATCCCACGCTCACGCGTGACGCGTGGACACCACGCTCTGGAACAATATGGCGTTTGCGAGCTGTTGTTTGTAATTTCGTACAGAAGATTTGATTTAACCAAAGATTTTCAAGACGTATGTTACCTTTTGCTGTGTTGGTGTAATGTACTCAGGTGAATAAGATGCTTGTGTGATATTACTCTGAGTGTATATCCACACCGGGCAGGCTTGTAGATAATAGAGAGGTTAAGATACCCCGGTTCCGGTTTACGGGTACGAGTACCGCCATTTTGTTTACCAATTTTTGCTGATGTCAGCAACTTTACCCGTAATTTCTACCCGTTTCCCCGCGGTAAACCATGGTCTACACGTAAACGACAAACGGGTACGGGTGTTTTCTGTTTACTATTTTTGGGCCGTTTAAATAGTACAAATTTTCAACATCGTACCCAAATAAATAATGCACATATGCGAGTCAAAGTATTCAACAATTTATGGCCAACCTCAACAGCGAAAGTTGCCATTCTCTGATCGGTTTTCTCACGCCGGAGTATCTTGGATTTCTTAAGTTACAAGTTATTTCCCGATTTACTGGTACGGGTATATCACCCGTACCCGTAAACCGGAATCGGGGTATCTTAACCTCTTTAATGTTTCTTCACGACCGTGTTTCGCTAGCTGTGGGGTTCCGCAAGGATCTGTTTTGGGACTATTGTTGTTCTCTTTGTACATTGCTCCCCTCGAAGATGTGATGATGTCCCATGAGATAGATGCCATGATGTATGCTGATGATATTACATTTTTCTGAATCGTACTAACCACGTTATCGCAACTGAAAAGTTGGAAGCCTGTATTGACGACGTTATGAATTGGATCACTTGCAATATGCTTAGGGGCAATCCATCAAAGACGGAAGTAATTCATTTTTATTCACGTTACATGAAACCTGATTGTCCTCTTCGTCCCATCAAAGTAGGAGGGCATGATGTACAACCCGTAAACAAAGTAAAGGATCTAGGAGTTGCACTCGATTCCTGCCTTACTTTCAAAGTGCATATTAATAACGTATGTCGTTCGACTTCACAATCAATACATCAAATTGGAAAAATAAGAAAATATCTTTCACGAAAGGACATCGAAAGTCTTTTTCATGCTTTTATTTCATCCAAACTTGATTATTGCAACGGCGTTCTCTACGACCTTCCTTCTTGTGAATTACAGAAGCTGCGAAGGTTACAAAACACTGCTGCCAGTTTAGTCGTCAAAGAAAGGAAATCTGCGCATATAACACAGGTACTTTCTAATCTCCACTGGCTTCCTGTGCAACAACGAGTAACTTTCAAACTCCTTTTGGTGACCTATAAAGCTCTTAATGGCATTGCCCCTTCATACATCACCGATCTACTTCGTCGTCATATTCCTGCCCGTACTTTGCGTTCCAGCAGTCAAAATTTGTTAACTGTGCCTAGAGCGAGAACAGAGACATATGGCGAGAAGTCTTTTTCCTGCGCTGCTCCGAGACTTTGGAACAAACTTCCTGACTCTATTAAGCAGAGTCAAACTATCGATGAGTTTAAGGCAAAGTTGAAAACATATCTTTTTAGGATAGCTTTTACTGATTAACTGTTTTTAGATTCTTGTTGTAAGAAGCATTGAGACTCGTGTACAATGCGTTTAAAAGAACAATTATATTATTATTATTGAAACATATGCCTGGCCACGGTGGGATTCGAATCCCACCGTGGCCAGGCAAATTTTCAAGCCTGCCTGGTGTGGATATACACTCAGAGTAACATCACACAAGCAACGTATGTTATCTTTAATGATCCAAAGGATGCATGTTCAAATATTTTAAAGAGGAAACGTCAAAAACTCAGGTATACATAAGATATTAAAAATTGTATTCGCGTAGTTAATATTCAGCAAGTTTTAAAGTTTATTCTGAACTTAGTGAGTTTTTTAACTTTCTGTATAATATATCATTTATAGACCCTCCGCTCGGGGGATTCGGCGTAATATTTCCGGGGGAAAGCCCCTCGGAAAATATCATCACCGAGCGAAATATTACGCCAAATCCCCCGAGCGGAGGATCTATAAATGATAATTAGTACACCGAGATCTTTTTCTTCTTGTACTTTATTGATAGGAAACAGGTCAAGATGATAGATAAAGGGGATAGGTTGTTTCTTCCTATTAACTTCCATCGTCTTGCATTTCATTGTTATTCTTAATTTACGTTAATGATCTTCCTTCGTCAGTATCTTCACCATCTGTGAACGTTTCTCTATTTGCTGACGACACAAAATGCTTTTCAACCATTGAGTCCCTAAGCGACGCAAGAAACCTAAACACGGAATTTAAAAATGTGCAGAACTGGGCGCATAGTTGGCGACTGAATTTCAATGCAGAGAAATGCAAAGTCCTTAGTATCACCAGAAAACGCTACCCAATCGTTGCTGAATACGTCATCGATGCCCGAGCTTTGCAGCACGTTCCCAGTCAGAAAGACCTTGGAGTGACAGTTTCTTCTGACCTTACATGCACTATCCACATACACGAGAAGATTACCAAAGCGAACCGTATGCTTGGCATGCTGAAACGTTCGACAGTTCATGTTAGAGATGCAAGCACTAGACGCAGTTTATATCTGGCATTAGTCCGATCTCACCTGGCCTATGCGTCACAGGTATGGAGCCCACAAACCGTAAGCATGTGTGGTGAATTGGAAAATGTTCAAAGGAGGGCAACTAAATTCATCTTGGCTTTACCTTTTGAAACTGACACTTGCTATAAATCAAGATTGTTGGCCTTAAACTTGTTACCACTGAGCTATTGGCACGAATATATGGACGTTCTCCTTTTATTCAAACTTACACGTGGATTTATTTCATGATCATCTGACCTCAATATCCTCCCAGAACAAAACAACAAATGAACCTACGGTCACAAAATACCACCCTCGTGACATATCATATACCAAAAACTAA